TGCTTTCGTTCCTAACGTTAAATTGTCATTTTATAATTTACAATAAATGTATTTATTTATCCCAATTACGTGAATTAAGCTTCATTTTTTATAAGGTTTCTACTATTGTATTAAAGTGAATTTCTAATGATTATTTTCCTTTATTATGTTAGTGTAGTTAAAGTCTTATATCAAACTTTGAAATATGAATATAATATAATTATAATAATTAATAATAAATATTTTTATTATATATATAATATATAATATAAATGAAAATAAAAAACCCAATATAATAAGGATATAGTATAAAAGGGGTTTGGCTTAGTAGACACTAGTAGTGTTGATTGAAATCTAATAGGGGTTGACATCATTATCATAAATCAGATTTTTGAAAGTAACATAAAAAAAAGGTAATTCTGTGAAATATTTTCTTTGTTTGTTTCGTACAAATGGGTTTATTTAAAAATAATAATTTTTAATATATTATACAAATTGTTTATTTTACGTCATTTTAAAATTTTAAGATATTTTAGTAAAAAAAAATTAATTTTTTTTTTAACTTTCGAGGATAATATTTTCAATTAGATCTAATTTGGGTTCTTATAAAATAGAATTATGTAATATTGATCCAGTAGAGCTTGCGTTCATAAGGCGATAGACGAAAAAAACACACATCATAGTGAAAACAATACTTTCTCAGTTTCACATTGAATCTAAAAATAATTTGTAGTAGTAACATGAAATTTGTTTTTTATAAATTGCATTATTTTATAATAATGAACTATCTAATCAATCTATATAATACTTAAAATTTTACTACAATATATGTTTTATGCAGCAATGTGTAATGGAAGTTTATTTATTAACAAGTACATTATGTAGTAAAGTTTAGTAGTTATTTCAATTTTGCGTGTAATATATACAACAACAATTTCCATAAATTAAATTTGCTATACTTCTTATTTCCCAGTAAATTTTTAAAAAAATTTTTCTCAGTAAAAACATTATAGAATAATAGTTAATGTATGTTGACGTCAGAAAACATCTATACTACGATAATTAACTTTGTTTATTGCAATGAGGTAAACACGGGTAAAACAAAGCCCTTTAAATTAAAATTATTATTAAAAAGAAAATTAAGTTTTAACTGGGCGTTTTAATTTTTCTTTAGTATGTTATTGAATGTAATATGTTTCTGACTATGATGTTTTCTATATTTTAATAACAGGATGATTAATTCATTATGAACAATTTAATTAATTAAAAAATAAAAAGAATATTGAGATTTTTTTTTAGTTTCTTTTAAGTACATGTTTTCTTTCAATTTATCAGTCAATAAAGTATTTTCATGTTTATTCCTTATACTTTATATGGGTGTCAACTTTATTTTTTCGAATGATAAAATACGCAATTAACTGGTTAATTCCAGTTCTAAATTCAATATAACTTTTATTTTTCTATTAATTGAGCATATTACATATACTATATAAACATGGTTCTATATTACTATCAATTTACTAGTGGTTGAGTTCATTTAACTGGCCAACTCATTTAGTTTTCTTTCTAACTTTTATTATTATTATAATTTATATCATATATACATACTTTATGGAATATTTGTTTGTGTGAAAAACAGGACAAGAAAACATTATGAATAACGTTATAGTTATAACATAAATGTCTATCAAAACGTAATAGAAAAACCAAAAATATGTCGTATAAATAAACGTTAAATATCGTTAAATACAATAAAATTTATATCGTAAAACAATTCTTATTAAAATAAATAAAAATAAATATTTTCAAATGTATATTTTAAAAAATTAGCCCTTATTAAAAACTGGTTACAGTATTATGTTTTAAACTCTTAAAATCAAACGTAAAAATTTAGTAACGTTTAAACGTCAAAAATAAAATAAAATAACGTCAAATATAAAAATTGTATAATTATTAAATGTCTAATAACATTTAAAAAAATTATAAGATAACGTTATAATATATTTAAAAATAAAACGAAATTTTTTTTTTGAATTCGACCCCTATTAAAAAAAGCAAGTTAAAATGAGACGATACTTACATCTGACAGCTTTAGTATAAAATGCCGTTTGGAAATGTTTTTGACTATGTTGATTGCTATATTCACATACGCACACACACACACCAACTAACTAGAGATATAACATTTATAACCCGTTTATATTACTTAGAATAGTACTTATTCACGTTTTGACTTTATCATATGCCTATTGGCTATCTCTGCTTAAACGCAATAATAAAAGCATGAATGTAGAAAGTTTTATTTTAAAAAAAATTTCAGACAAGCAAACAGTCTCTTATGACCCAGACCTTTGAAATCCTTGACCCGTTTTCTCGGTTAAATACATATTGTATGATTTAGTTATTGTAGCAATAAGAAATATCACTAGCATCCCCAAGGCGTAAGGTGATATACTTTTTGCTCAGCCGCGTTAAATAGCCAATACTGAACGACCGAGTTTTGAGGAAACTTTAGAACCCCAAAGTTCTCTATGCGTTCAGAATTCATTATATAGCTCAAGGACGGCACGCCATACGCGAAAAATGACCCAGTTCACGGTTTAGCCTGTACATTAACTTAAAAGATCAGCATATTTATGCTCTCTTGAATAATAATTACTTTTAATACCTGACACAATATCATATGTTTTGTATCATTCATAAATGAGAAAAAACAACTAGCAATGTCTTAACTAAATTTCAAAACAATTTTTAAAAAGTTAACAAGCATTACATTAATGATAAAGATATAAATGTTTTTAATACAACTTTTGTAATAGGAATATAGTATGTTCGTTGAACATATAAAAAATATGTATCATTAGTAATAACTAGTGTACGGTTATATTGGCACGAAGAAGGATTTTTTATGATGTGATAATATCGAGAATATATTTGAATACTTAAGAAACTGTGACAACTTAAATTTGTTTATTTTTATAATTTATTATACGTTTGTATTGTTGTTAATCATAATTCTCTAATTGAAGTGACAATTAAATTTGTATAAACATTTGAACCGTAACGGTTCCCTATTTTTATAGTCTATTCTAAGAATTTTAAGTTTCATTGTTGTTGTTTTATTTTTAATAGTTCATTCACACTATGGTATTATGGATAGGTACAACCGATTAGTATACACCCACATGAAACAATACGTTATTCAGACGGTTAGTTGGCTGATTAACTCATATGTTTTTTGTTGGCGAAATCTCAAAATACATGTGGCTTTTTATTTTATGTCTTTGCAAAATTTCTTTAAAAACAATTATAAAAATATGTTTACGGTTGAACTTCAATGACAAGATAGGATAAAAAAATAAGTTAATGCAAACGTATCGACGTGACCGCAAATAATTTAGGAACGTAAATATTTAATTTATTAATAAATTTGATTAACTGACCACAGTTTGTTTAAATATATTAAAATAAATACAATTTTTATTGTACTATCTTATTGGTAACTCGATAATAGTGCCCATCGCTTGTACGGCATTATGACCACAAATGTTTGAAACCCAAATTTTGTTAGCTGCACTATGTAATTAAATATTATTTCAATTTTCATACAGACGTAAGTAGGTTTAATAGCAACCAACAACACTGTGATGTTGATATTCGATCGTTCCAAACAATTCTACCCAGATATTATATAAATATAATATAATAGAGCATTGAATTTCATCTCACTCCTAAGGTATGAACTCGTATTATTGTTAAATATTTGTATCAAATTCACAATTTTTCATAGATATAATAAGGTTTTTTTACACGCCATTTTAATGTTGTTATATTATTTTATTAATGTTTATGTTGTTAGAGTTGCAATTGTATAAATTTGTGTTCGAGCATGTGATACACGTATGACAACTTTTCAAAAATAATTTTCGTATGTATTGTTTAGTTGTTGATAGGTATTTTCAAACCGCAAAAAATAACATAAAATATCATTGATAACTATTGCTATGCATTTATGCTTATATATTTGTCGTGGTAAAATTTAATTTTTTTATACTTGTTATTTATGTAATATAGGTAGTATTACTTTTAAACAATATTATGTTTTACATAAACGATCTACCTCGTAAAACGACACAAGCCCATATTATTTTACCTAATCCTGGGCGTCTAGTATTGGTTTATTATATGTCCCACTATTGTGTAAAAGTATTTATTTCACTGTGATTGTCGCATGTTTTAAGCGAATTTCTAGCATATTTTATTAGACTAATCGTAAAACCTATGTCATGGAAGTCACTTTCGTATTAATTTAACTTAACCCAACCTATTAATTTATAAAAGAAAAAAATTGTCAAATGTATTCTTAGACCAAAAGTACGTCATTGCTGTAATCTCAAATAAAATATTAACTGAACAAATTAAATAAATTCATATTATAAGCTATAAATAAAATCCCAAATCACTGTTTCAAATCTGTTGCGCCAGTATCAGTTTTTAATTATATTACACATATATAGTATATATTAAAAACTACATTTATTAAAATTGATAAAAAGTTATTTTACTGTAGTATTAAAAAGAATAAAATATTATTTATAGTACAATCTGCATTATTAGCGCCTTTATTTTTCTATAAAATACCTAAATTAAACATAAAATTCAATACTAATTTTTAAGAATATAAAAAATTAAAAAATATATATATATATAAAGTATAACGGTAATTGAAAAAAATAAAATATCTGGTGATTAAAAACTTAAAACAGATTATACTTTGACACTGCTTATATTACAATAATGTTAAAATATTTATAATATCTATAGATATAAAACAATTAATTTTAAAATAATTTTTTGGTTTAGATATGTTCTATTTTTCGTGTGAAATATCAACAAGAATTTATAGATTAGCAATTTTTTTCGTCAAATTTTAAGTATTTTATAGTTAGTTATAATTGAGTAGTATATGTTTTCAATTATGCATAGCTTAAGTTTAATTTTTAATGTATTATTTGTTACAGCTGTCACAGTGCGATATTTGACGAAGAGATATATTGGAGAATATAGCTCAAATACTGGTAAATAAAATTTTTTCATAATACTAAAAAAATTGTTTACATATTTATTGTTTTAAGATAAATAATGGTTTTATGAGTTTTGCAAAACTTATGATATTTAAGAACCTATTAAATGAATTATTTTCACTTTTATTTGAGTTCTATTGCTGTAAAATCGAATAGAAATAAATTAAATTATACAGATGATATTTTCTTGGAAGCAATGCATATGGTTACTTTTATAGTTTGTACAAAGATCCACCACTTTAACTACATTTTAGTGAAATATATAAAAACAATTTGACATATAATATTGTTGGTAGTCTATCTAACCGTTTTAATAAGTTCAAATTATGACAAAAATTTATTTGTATAAATGCACTAGTATAAAGTAACTTAAATATAAGGAATTCATGTTATTTGTCTGGCTTTAAAAGTTCATAACTTAGTATTTAAATGTGTTCTAGTTTTGCGAATCCTTATTTGGTATTATGCTAAAAATTAAAAATTAAATTTTTAACGTAAAAAGTCATCTTAAATTTTAATGAATATGACATTAACATTTCATTGAATTAATTTACTACTATTAAAACGATTTATACAGGGTGGCCTACCACTCACTGACAACTTAAAAAACTTTTGATCCAGTTAATATTTTTAGCTGATTTTTTTTTTAAATAATAGTTATACGTTAGGTCTATAGCTATATCTCAATAATTAATTTTTTTACATTTTATTAAAAATATTAATTATTTTTAAATTTTAAAGAAAATGCAAAAAAAAAATCTAAGATAGCTATTTTGTAGAGTAGAATTTAAGAAAAATTTTAGTAAAAAAATATCTTATTAATATTCAGTAGTAAATATTCTGTAGCGTTTTGAAGTTTGTAAAAATTTGAATTTTCATGTACTATTTTACGGTTATAAACATTGAAATACGTATTGAGAAAAGGACAGAAGAAAACGCTATCTTTTCAATATACTTTTGAATGAGAGTGATAAGTAATAATTGCCTTATCTAATTTCTTATCATGGTATTTATGCCAAGTTTGTAATGTATACACACTATCATCATATGTATACACAGTAATCATGAAAAGATAGCGTTTTCTTCTGTCCTTTTCTCAATACGTATTTCAATGTTTAATACCGTAAAATAGTACATGAAAATTCAAATTTTCACAAACTTCAAAACGCTACAGAATATTTACTACTGAATATTAATAAGATATTTTTTTACTAAAATTTTTCTTAAATTCTACTCTACAAAATAGCTATCTTAGATTTTTTTTTTACATTTTATTTAAAATTTAAAAATAATTAATATTTTTAATAAAATGTAAAAAAATTAATTATTGAGATATAGTTATAGACCTAACGTATAACTATTATTTAAAAAAAAATCAGCTAAAAATATTAACTGGATCAAAAGTTATTTAAGTTGTCAGTGAGTGGTGGGCCACTCTGTATAGTAAAAATAAAAATTGATCATCCATTGAGTTCAATATTTAACTTTTTTTTATTATATTAAAATGAATAATATAGAACTAAAGTTTTGAATATAATCCAAGAGTTATCGAAACTACTCGCCAATTATATCTTCTGTTATAGTATACCGTTAGTATTTAAAATAATAACAACATTAGATAATGAGAAGAGTAGGCCTATTTCCTTGGCGGCCCTAGCGGCAATCACGCTCAATCATGTAGATAGATGTTTAAGCTTTTATTTAAATATTTTTTTTTAAATAAAGTTAACTTAAAAAAAAAATAATAATAAGATTTACTAAAAAGTTTTGTAATTGATTGTTTTATGTCTTACCTTTAAGCTTGGATTATTAATTGTAAAGTATTTTTTTTTTAACAATCACGTCTATGGTTTTATTTAATGCACTAAAAGATAAATATTATACATAGTCATCGGTTTATCATAAATCATTCGATTACTCTTAAAATAAATACAATATTGAAAACATAAATTTTGAATTATTTTAGTTACATATATTTTTCTTGATTTATTTTCTATTAATTTTATGATCATGAGTCAACTTTATTTTTTTAAATGGTAACATACATATATAATTAACTTATAAAATATCTAATTAAGAAAATAACTGGTCTATAACAGTTTTTGGACCAGTACTTTTGACGTCATTCTCATTTTCACACCTAAGCAGGAGGAAGAATACGACCGGGAAATGAGACTAGTGATAAAAATAACAGCACTCATTCTTTACCTGCAATCATTACTTTAAATTGTCAATAATGTTTGAATTACTGATCCAAAAGTTGTTATCTGATCCATAATTTTCTTAGTTTGAATAATTCCTATTTTACAATCTATTTGAATATGTGTATTGCTATAAAAAAATAAAGTTTAACATTTTTTTTACAATAACGTATTTGCTTTGCGAGTAACCGAGCGGTTTATGATAAACCTATCACTCTGTATATGATTTTTTTCAATTGTCATAATTTATTGGTCAGTACTTTTTTTACCATATAGAATATGCTTATGTATATTTCTAACGGTTCAATTTTATAATAGGTAAAAATATTGCAATGTTTTTTTATTGTCGGTCATTATTCTGATTTCACAAATAACAATGGAAATGCATAGAGAAAATGTTTAATGTCTTCGTATAATTTTACGATTTTATAACGCATTCGAACAAAACTATAATATAATAAATTATATACATTCGATAAGTTATCTATAGTTCAACTTCTAAGACATTGACATTACATGAGACTATTACAGTTAAGTGTGATTTTCTATTATTGCAGAATATTGTAACAATTATTATTACCAGAGGTTTTACTTCAGATAACACAGACGACAAAGTTAATGTGTAACAATACCGCTATTCTGCTGTTATCAATAGGTCGGGTTTAGATAGACCTATCAAATAATATTGTTATAGCACACCCCAAAGACACACGATTATTGTTGCTAGGCGTGCAAATTCACGAGTACTCAAAGTTATATTTTTCTTATCAATACGGCAAGTGTATCTAAATCAAATTTGTTTCGCAAGTAAATTACAAATATGTTTCTTGTAGAACTATATAATAATAGACGTTTAATTTTTATATTTTTTAATAATTAAATGTTATTATTATTCCATATTTCCATTGGCTGCTAGGAATTATTACGTGATTAATTAGTATACTTCTGTTTTTTTTTTCTAGTAGTCATCATCTATGTATCTTCACATCTTGTGCTTGATGTAATCAGAGATAAATATATAAATACTTTTATCAGATGAAATAACATTTTCTTATTTCCGTTTTGGTTTTCAAATAGTATCTGAAACTATGAAAATGCAAATGAATTCAAGACGTTCACGCTGTAGTAATTCGTAGGAAGGCAATAAAATAATTAAATGCATAATTTCAATATGTCTTGATTTTATAATCAGTGTTCACTTACATTTTAATAGTTTTATGTTTTACTTATAACGTTTGCCACTTTCTCTAAACTTTGTTTCTGGAAACATCTTTTAGTGTTTGCATTTATGTGCATCTTTTTATTATTATTTACCCATTATAACATAACGTTTGTTATATTTTTTTTTATATAATATGACCGAGCACGCACGCTCAATTTATTTACTACCATAAAATTTCTGAACTTCTTGTATCGCTTAAGGAAACACCGACACTTTTATGTGCGGCTTTTTTAATACGAATAATTTTTTTTATGATAACATACTCATCAATTTTCACGTTAAACAAATGTTGTCGTTACATGATTTAAGACTTTCACTTATGACGTTTTTATGGAATTTTACGTAAAACAGCTCCATTGCTAAGTAATTATTTGACGTTGAACACAACTATTAGAATAATGAATACTAAAATTTATAATTATACTTGAACTAGAAAAGTTTTTATACCTTGTTGATGCGGTAGCAATGTTTAACTCTGCCCGTCTTCAGTTTCTTTTTGAGTAATAATTAACACATTCAACTACGCTATGACTTTTCAAATGTCTTTATATTAAATATTTGGATGTTTTTTTTTATTTGCATCTGTGAAAAGGGAAAAATTATTTTTTAATGAAAAAGTTATAAATGAACCATAATTCTATCGTTTATAATGTACACTATTAAAGTGTCTCATCTGAACATTTTTAATATTTAAACTAGCAAAAAAAAAATTAAAATTACTTTTTTATTATTTTTTTTATGACAAATTAATTAACTTAATTAAAAACTGAAAATTAAAGTTTTAATATAAACAGAACTTTTTTTCAATAAGCAATTATGAGAGGTTTGTGAAATACGAACTCTGTCTACTTAAAATGTATACGAATTGTACGTGATACGTGATATATTTATACGTTCTATTTTTTACTAAAAGTGGTACTTTTGAAAAAGTGAAGAGAAAATAAAATTCATCAAAAATAATATCTACTAAAACATTCCTCCAAAAAACTTTGTAATTGAATCACAATTCCATAATGAATCAAGAACTTAGAATTATTATTTTTTTATAGTAATTTTTTTCAATTAGTCCGAATAACTCTGTTAAATCTCAAATTATTAGAATAAGTTCTAATTTCTAATAATAACAGAGTCGTTTGCCATTATACACACCATCGTCTTGTCATTTTCTGGCGCCATAAGTTATTGATGGTGACAATATGGTCTTATTAATCTATAGTTAAAATTATTATGTTAAGTTTCAGATATTGTTAGATTTTTTTTTTTTTTTAATGCTTTATTTTTTCAAGTCTATTTATTTATTTTTTTTTTAGAAAAATAATGACATGAGCGACTATCCATCTTATAAATATTTTAATAGTATAATAGTCCAAATGAAGAACTAACGTTATGTATAGTCATACTTTTTTGTTCCTTTTAATAGGAACGTATATTTTGTTAATATAATGCGAATTTTCAGAAAGAAATGTTTAAAATATATCAAAGTTCTTATTAAAATTATTTATTTTATTTAGGTATATAATATAATAAATATTTTTACTATAAACAATCATCTCGAAGGATGTAATTGTGTTTTTTCACACCACTAGTCCCGATAATGATTTACGGTCACCATGCAGGAGAAGCGTTGTAGGGATTTCGACTTCTAGGCCGTCAACTCTCGTCCAGTGCTTCCTACAAGTTTCCCATGAAGCGTAAAAAATCGAATCTCGGGGCCCTCGAGGCAACCAGCGACACCGTTCATGACAGGCGTGTACCAATGTAATCAAATACGCGGAAATGTAACACGACCTTTTTTTCCTACGATTAATTAAAGCGCGGTGGTGATGTATACGAGTGAGAACGTACACATTATTTTTGATCGTATGAGTGTAATACTCGACCGATATGCCACAGACCTCTTTCAACTACCCAATCGCCAACGACCCCGATATCTGGTGCGTACATCTCCAATTATACTCATGCATTTATATATTGTTGACTTTTTTCCTCAAGACTTACATAATACTTCAATTGCAGACTTGCCCTCTCACTGGGATTTATTATGTGTTCACCATAAAAAACGAGCATAGACTACAAATCTGTATCGACCTTATTATAGATAGGTTTTATTTTGTCCTATACTTTAATACTTTGGCACCAAAAGTCATGATAACGCCTTGCCATAGGGGAATGCACTCGTATAAATATATGTTCGTATCGCGTGGCGACGATCACATAATATTACTCAATATGTTATACTCCCATTGACCGCATAACTTGAGGTAGGATTTCCTCTGGTGGCAGTAGGCGCTTCAGGAATCTGCTGGACTCGTTCCCAAAAAACGAAATCAGTCCGTATACAAATTTATTACTCGGTCAATGGCCAACAGACTTATGATGTCTATGTTATGATTTTTAACATAACCCTTTTTCCTACTTAAATTTCAAGTGTAAACATTTTATGTTCATAAATAAAAAGAACATTCATTACAATAGCTTAGATATTTATTTTTTTTATTTAATGAATAGTTTATATAAAATAGAAATTTCGCTGATACAATGAGGTTTGGACGCATTTGCTTATAAACAGGGGATTAGGACTCTTAGGCACCTTAACGTCTTAGATTCTAAACCTTGGTAAGTTTTATAAATGTCTGCTTAATGTCTCATTATTGTTATTTTATATTGTGTTTAAATTATATTTGAGATACCTATAGTAACTTAAAATAATTAAACAATTTTTAGCTAAAAATTTATTTTAAATAACGTATTAAATGACAAACCTGATTTTAGGAAAATAGATTGGTTTTACAAATAATTTTATTTGTTAAACACATATTTAGATTCGGAGTCATAATTATTCGATTTAATTGCCATAACGAAAACAAATAAAACTTGAACTTGAAGCTCTAAAAAAGAACTACAAATGTAAATGTCTACAAATTATACTCTAAAAAGTAAAAAGAACCTAAACGTTTCATGTTAATGCTATTGTAAGCATTTTTCAAAAATTGTTCTCATATCAAATCTAAAATCATAATTGCTCTAGAATCGTTTTTATAAATAATAGCGTGAATAATAATCAACTACACAATTCCATAAATGATTTATTTCACCTAAAGAATATATATTGAGCTCATTGAACCTCGAAAGGTTAGATATCAAAAGCTACATTTTTAAAAATCCTATACAGCTTCAACCACTTAAGTGGTTTCCTATTGTATGATCATATTCGTCCTACTACTCTGTAGACTTCGTTGTTATTTTGTACATTTACGACATAATAAAAAGTACGCGTAAAAGGTTACCATTCATTTCGTTGCAACATAATAGTTATAATTAGTGCAATCGTAGGAATGATGATAAACACAAGTTTGGACGTATTAGGTCATAGTTAGACTCCGAGTAAGTAAGGTTTCAGGTCTGTGGACTCCAAAACATTATGTTTTATGGTAATTACCCACACAAATATAATCCATAACTGTTTGAGTTACTAAGATAACTACAAATCATTTAAATTTNTCATAACTGTTTAAGTTACTAAGATAACTACAAATCATTTAAATTTTCAAAACTATTTTCCTTTTAATTTTCAATTATTAATACAAAACAGTTATAATTATTTATTTGAATTATTATTAAGTTGGTTTAACGATAGAGATTTTATTCATTTTTTGTTTTACGATGGTATATATATACCAAACAAATAATAAACAAAGGCGCTAGGTTTAGATTTTTTACAGACAATTATGCGAACCATTTACAGTTATAGTTCTGTTCAATGCTCGAGTGCTTCAGCGTAAATAATAAGAAAACGTGTAAAACCTGCCAGTAAGGCCATAGACCTTTGCATTGCAGTTAATAAATTATATATTTGTACGAGGTAAATAAAGGGATGTTATAAGTCTGATCTAAAACGTTATGTGTGATAGTGACGGATGCGGTTTAATTGTTTAATGTGCATTACTCGTTTTGTTAAAAATCCGTTATCTAGTATACTGACGGTTCAAAAGCTCTAGGTTATTGTACGCTTCGGATTACCTCATATTGTTGGATCCGTAGTAATTTGTTAAAACAATAACGCATATTTTTCACTAAATCCCTCACCGTTATAACTCATAGCAGAATGGCTGTAAAAACATTATAGTCACTTTTGACGTTTACCATTTAATAAATTTTATATTCACTATAATAAAAATTTATCAAAAGATTCTTTGTCACTTTTATTTAGAGGGCCAAAGGTTAGTGGACTCGATTTAATAACTTTGACGTGTATTCTACCGCAAAAGCAATATAAGACGTTGTGTACGGGTTTTCTACTGGTTTTCTTAGGCCAACTCTTTATACTCGCGTGACACGTAACATGTTCATTTGGTTGCCGCCGTTATGATAAGCATCTCGTGCACCCTCACAACTATTCTTGCACCTGTGCGCTATCCTCTTACTTATATTAAAAAACTAATACTATTTTCTCCTGCAGCCACCGTCAACGGCGTGTACGTGTTCATCACAACTCGTGACGCGAAAATTCGTGTCCTTCGATTCGCCTATGCTCGGCCGATAACTTGGACTGCAATAGTTGTGTAAACACAGGGGAGGAAGCCCACCGCTGTTGGTGGTCACACGCGCGCGTGGGTTCCCTTTAAATCGTCATAGTTCATAACAAGCCTCAATCAAAGGGGAAGAACACAAATCATCATAATATTTTCATCTAAAACCTAAAACGATACTTGTGTATAATGATTGTGTATAGATACACGACGATGATAATTATTATAAGTTCAGGTAACGTTCTGAATAATATACTGTACTGGTAAAAACGTAAACATACTGCGCACGTGAATTCACGTACAGTGATAATAAAATACGAACCATGAACTATTTTCTTTTCTTTCAAACGGAAATATATTAGTATTAACTATAAAGTCGAACAAAAAAACACGTTATTGCTGATGCGGATGAGTAGATATTTAAACCATTATATTGCACACACGTGTTTTAACCGTACGCGTTTCTTAACGTGGATATTTATTGAGAGTCTATGATGTAGTGTCGTCAATCGGTGGGCGGATAAACTACACGCAACGAATGGATTTTACGGCTCATCGTACTTATTTAATACCACAAAGTTATGAGTATTTCAGATCATACGTTTAACGACTTTAGATGAAATTTGATTTTCTAAAATTCCCACAGAACTACCTGGTAACATAATTTCAAAATTGAATAGCGCACCACGCACTTTACTACGAATGCTGAATTTGTCCACTTTGATATGATTTTCAAGGACAGTTACTTACACATCTATAATGTGTGCGACTGACATTTACAGCTCACTGATCCTTGTCTATCTAAAAAATATTTTGTCTCGGGAAAACAATTTATCTTATTTAAAAGATTAAATCACTTTAATGCATTTCATAACGTTCTATAAAAGATGAAAATATTTTGATAATTTTGCCAAATAATAAACTATAAATAAAAAAATAGTACTAATAAAAAATCTAGATTCATGATACAATTCTGCTTCATCAATTTTACTGTCTGAGTACAACACTAAATTTTTTTTAAACGGATTTTATATCGAAATGTTTGATCATTTTCTAGCGGGACATTCAAGTTTTATTGAATGTGCACAAAATGCCTTTTAATATTGATTCGAACATTTTCTGTCGTCTTCATTTAATACAATTAATTGAGGTTATTGACCTTTATTGAAAAGAATTTTTTTCCGCTTCAATAGCTCATCAGTAGTATTGCGGATAATTGAATTGTGACATTCTCGTAGCCGTTTACGCTATTTAGAATAAAAAATAAACTAAACAGACATTTATTAAGTTTAACTGTAAAAATAACTACGGGTTTTAGGTATAATTACGAAATTAAATCTTGATTATTCAAATTAATTTAGTAGTATTATAACAAATTATACAAGAATAGAGCAAAATTTTAATGATTTTATAGTTAAAAGGAACTTATCAAATAACGTTTTCAAATTTTATTAGTACTGTCATCTGTATATTTTGTTAATTAAATTATTTTAAAGAGTAGTGATTCTTCTAATCAAAGTAAAAAATTTAATTAATTTTTTTTCGCCTTTAATTAAATAATTTTTCTTATATATTCTAAACTGTGGTATATTTAGTTTATAGTTAGGATTATATTCGTCAAATTTATTATTGCTAAATTTTAAATTATATATTTAATAATAATTGATAGAAAATATTCGTTAATGAACAATTATTAGTAATATAATGTTGACATTTAAATACGGAAATTCGTAATAGATTTCTTTTAAAACGGGAAAATTAGGTTAACACAGCTCAATATAAACGTGGTAAATTTCTTGTGTGCAAAATGAAGTTACGTATCTATGTGCGAAAACGACGTAACAACATTTATCACGCGCTTATGTGTAATTGTAAAAAATATACAATGCATATATTTTTTAATTAATCGATTACGTTTTGTGTTTATTACAGACCTACTCTATAGACACGATGTGACGTTCGATAGCGTTCTTACAGAAGTGGAAATACTCGACACATGCAAATGCTCAGTAAGTACAAACTTTAATATACGTACATATATATTTAATATGCATATCATTTTACTATGCATAGTAAAGGTATAATTAAAAAAAAAATTCAATAGTCAATCTGATTACAAATTGCAATTGTGTTTTCGTGTTTCCGTTTAATTTGAAAATACTTAGATAATATATATATATATTGTTTTATTTTTAATTGCTGATCACATTATTTGAGTGAATGTTATGTACAATAAGAGGTGTGTGATTAATGGGTTAAAGTTGTATAATACTATAGCCATAAATGGTTATTGCGTTTGTTTGCAGTAAAACCGCTGCAACTGTAAATATCCATTTTAAATTAAATGGTTAACATACTTCATATTTGTAGGTAAAAAGAATTTGTGGTTTAACATTCAAGTTTTTGTGTCAAGATATTCAAATATCCCTGAACATATTCCGTTTTTTTATACCATAAGAGAGTTAAACGGATATTCTGATATAGTAGACTCTAATTAAAAACTTCTTAAAAATCAAGGGTGTATGATGTGCACTCGAGTAACGAGGTTACTTTTATTGTTGAGCAACATAGTACATTTATTATTTTACTACCCTATAATAATAATGAATATAACTCACAAATTATCTATATGTAAACGAGTTTTCCATAATATATTAGGATGACTATATCATTAATTCAAAAGAAGAAACCTCTTCAAAATTAAAACCTATTTTTCCGTTTACCAATATTAATCCAAGGTAGTGTACGATAACAGTTTATCGTTTAAATTAATTTATAATCGATCATTTTCAGTATATGACGTGTATTAGGACTGAAGATAGTCATTCAATGATAAACCGGCCGGGAAATGGAATTGATCATCTGATGTCTTTATGTTTTTTATTTATTTGCATTCATTTCAAAAGCTTTAGGCTATTGTGTGCTCTTGTAACGTGTATTATATCAGTACAAAAATATGGTATTATTTTAATTAACAGTTGGGTACTACTAATGTACAGTTATGCGGAATTAGTTTTCAATTTCAAATACTAAAGAGTAGGAAGTGTGATTTCTTTATGGGTGCAATTATAGCGCAGGCGTCTTCTGTAGGCTATTAGCTGTTTAGTTTTTAGCCACACACGTTGAAATTGATTGATGGGCCTATTTTATATATTTTGTATTTCTATTAGCGATGATGAGGATAATAACATTAAGATTTTAATGCCTAGCGCCGAGATTAGTTTCTATTGTAGTGCGTACAACTTTCTGCAGGGACTTGTAGCGTCAATATGAATTTTGTTCAAAGTTTATATAATAATTTTATGGTTTTAAATCAACAGAGAAGTAGAATAAGGCAATAAATTTCACTATTAACTTTTTTGTAGACAAGCAATGGAAAGTCAGTAAAATTAAAAATAATTTTTATTTTAATATTTTAGTACATTATTAATTTGTATTATTGAACTGTATAAGAAAAGTATCTTATGTAGCGTATAAAAATAAAGTAGACGACGCGATAAATTTATTTTTACTTGCATAACATTCTTATTTATATAAAGTTACATGATCAATCAAAGTAAAATAATATATATACATTATACAGACACTAGTGGAGTGTTGACTTATGATTTCTCTCTGAATTACTTGGTTCACTAGACTTTGCTTATTTCTGTTTATTTTATGTGTATATTTTTTGTACACATTGTATTTTTTCTTATAGCGTTTAATGATTATTGTTTAGAAAATTTTATCAAATTTCTACAGAACAAAATATCCAAACCTAAACTTAATAATCTCATCTTAGTTTTAATTAATAATATGGTTGTATAGATGAACGAATAAAATGTTAATTTTAATTTTCGAATCGTATCAAGCACGTGCCATTAAAATATTGTTGTTTGCATTCATTATTATCCCATGTTTTCGTTTTCATCTTGACAGTCCACATTATTCCATTTGAATTATAATGTTACACGAAACAGTTTGCGTGACGACGCCTACTGCAAGTAGGTTTGTAAGTCTTAATAAACCTTTGGAATATAATTAAAATTAAAACAATCCGGATGGGATATACAAATTTACGATGTTCGTGTATAGGCTCATTATCGAAATGTCTTATTGAAAAATGATACTTGGCCCACCCGGTTTCGTTAAATATCCGTAATTATTTTTAATATAATCGAAACTTTCTGATGGCGTTTGTTTAATTCAACTACAATTTAATCTATATGCGTTTTATACAATATTTATTATTCATTTGTATTATACGAATGGTCTTTAATATTTATTAAAGATTATTTATTTAGACAAGATCACAGAAAAGATATATGTCTTGAAGAAAATCTCAATTTTTATAAAAAAAAAAAACAACCAACAATTTTTTTTACTTGAGTAATTTGAAAAGGTAATATAATTCTATTAAAATTTTAAAATTCGAGCGATGTCAATTTTTAGTGATTATTCGCAAGACAGAGCAATGTTAAAATAAAAATATGTGCCATTTTCGTGACAATTAACATCGAAAATCCTTATATCAGTATGTTTAAATGAAAAATGTATTATATATTGAAAACATTTCTTTAATGAGGATTATTTAAACAATTACACAATGTATATGTATATCAAAGTATTTTGATGTAATTTTTAATTTTTAGACATAATGTTAATCATGAAAATAACATAACTTTATTATTTGACGAATTGATATTTCTAGCTAAGTTAATAACTGTCAACTGTATAAGAAACATTTTTTATACGTAATAAGTTTTTATTACTTAAAGTAATAAATTAAAAATAGTATATACACGCGGTAATTATGTATATATATATTATTATGTTAATGCGTGATCAATCGAGTTGCACGAGTGTTATTGTGCATGATCCCTCTTATCCAGAATGAATAATAATAAAATTTTCTTGACGACTAACTTTTGTTTTGTCCAATAAACATTATTTCTATAATTATTCCATAGTTACTATCCAAAGGAAAATGACAGTAAAAATACAATAATATTATGGTATAATAAATAATTTTAATTGTAAAAAAGATTAACCAGTTTCGCACTGACGATCAAAGGATCTGACGACACAAATGTATTAACTTTTATTCTTACCAAAGAAATAATAGTACAGTTCTCATAACACTAAACTATATATATATATATATAGTGAGTCATTTTTTACTTCATACTATTGCTTTTGTATGTATATGTTTAAATTTCATAGATGAAATTAATTTTGAGACGTGAAATTGGTTCACGATTATCGTTGTCCACATCGTTGTCATTGTGCCTTTACTGCCGTCCGGTCAACTACCCCTGAAATGACCATGTATTATATCTTTGAACAATTAACGCTGCTGTAATGTTCAATGGCTTGAGTCTTCGTTATTATCTTATTTCTTGCACAGCTTCGAATCACTAGGTCCACAACATAAGGGGAAGTGATGTCATTAAAAGTATAATACTATTATTGTATGCGACAATGAGAGACTAAGGCTTGTTCTGGTTGTATCTAATTAGTTCTGCCGGCGTTCGATCATAATGCAACACTTCGTGCGGTGTGTGTATGGGTCTGTTTATCAATGTTGTTGGACATTTACTACAATGAAATATGGAACACGAAGCTTCGTATTTTGATTGTATGAAATTTGAATTCATCAATAAAAGTTAGAAAATTAGTTACGTTGTCGTCAAAGAATCGGAATACACTGGGAAAATATTTGATTAATTGTTTTTGTCGCAAAAGAAACACGTAAAAATCTCACCATCAAAGAATATCATTATTAGTATAAATTTTAGAATTATATAGATAATAACGTTATTTCGGCACTTCTAATGATTATCGATAAACAAAACTTACAAAAAATATACATTCGAATTTCAATAAAATACAACAGTAACACGCAGATCGATATAATTAACAAAATGTATAAAAAAAACAGTTGATTCTTTATTTTAATTTATTTAAAGTTTTAAATTTGTTTATGAGTACTATAAAATTGTATAATATAATTTACACATAAGTCATCTAGTTGCAAAAGGACGTAAGTCAAAAATTTATTTTTTTTAATTTTTCTATGTTCTATCTAGTTAGTCCTATAAGTTAAGCTGTAAAAAAAAAAAAAATTATAAAAAAAATTGTTTGGTCATAATTCTTTTACAACTAGACGACTAACATAGTATATATATTTCGATTGACTAAAAACCTAAAACTTTTAGTTGAAATAAATCGTTTGAAATATGTGTTTAGTGAACGTTTACGGTTAATATGCCTTATTATATTATAAAATCGCTAACCCTTGGAAAAATTGATACGGTTTAAACTAATAAATTAATCCAGTAGTAGTTAAAAAAACTTACGGAAAATCGGCGTTTGTAAACATTCCAACATTGTTAGTGTGGTGTATTTTATTAGTGATTATTTAATGTATAATCCCCAGAGAATATGTATTTAAAATGAAATTAAAACCATTTTTAAATCGTATTATTATTGTATCGAAAGAAAATCGATTGAGAAAGCACGAAAACATGAAACGTCATCGTTTTAACGTCGTGTGTAACGTTTCGTTGAAAGATATACATTTATATGGTCATAAATAAATTGTTAATATTTTGCTTTTGTTTGACTTCTTTATAAAATTATTGATCCGATTCGTGATGTCGGCATGATTTCTCCCTGATACTTTGAACTTGAAGAAAAAATAAGTTTTATTGAAGTTATGAGATGTCACCTTCGATATAAATTTATTGCGATTACTAGCAGGCCATCTACCTTCACTTTCCTAATGAATATACAAACACTTAACATTGTAATCATTTTCAAGTAAATAAATTTTAATTTGTTTGTTTGCACTAAAATCTAGTTGAACGTCGACTACAGTGTCAGAAAAAATATTATAAGACTTTCATTAAAATTGCATTGCTGTGGATACTTAAAAATGTTTTATCGCATTAATGGTATTATTTTATGATACTATTATTAGTTTATTTAGTAATATATTGATGTTACGAAAGTAGAAAAAATTAGA